AATGAGAAGATAAGATAAAAATTCCACGGACTTTCTGTTTCACCTAATATATACAGTATACTTTAATCTCTAATTAATAAAAAAATTAAAATTAACATACAGTATTAATGTAGTTACTAATATTATTTATAAAAATTCAATTGTATTTAATTTAAAATTTTGATAATAGTTTAGATCTAAGAAAGTCAATGTGTGCGAAAATTGCTAACTAATGTTAAAGTTCATCAATACATTAGTATAACATTTGGATATAAAAAAATATACTCTTGGTTACTAACCATTAAGGTATGGGTATTCAAAAAATTTAAAGGGTTTGAAAGAATTATCAGGGCTAAACAACAAAAGTAGTTAGTTAATTTTTTTTAAATACAAAATATAACTAAACAGAATATAGTTTTTGAAGTTATTTCAATATATAATGTTTTCGAAATATAATGTTTAAAACTTTAACAAAATTCTTTAACATTTGTAAATATTTTTAAAAACAAATCTCTTTTATTAATTAATTATTTTGTGATTAAATAGAAATTATTACAAAATAACAAAAACATTATTATAAATGTAATTATAGAAGTTTAAAAATTAAATATGAAGTACAATTAAAAATTTATTACAAAAAATCGATGTACGTATTAATGGACAGCCCCTGTGTTATACACCGCTGTTGAATCCCTCGTTACGCTGACCCCTACCCTGACCCTGACTCGGGACCCGGTAGGCCGACGTGTTGTTGAAGTCACCAAGCTCATGACCACTGTGCACATTAGGGGAACGGGAGCTTAAAAAATCAAACAAATATAGCATACGATTAGTAACAGAATATTCTTGACATGCATTGCATTGGCATTAATAGCAGCGAAAAGTGAATTCTTGAGAGAAAACTACAGAATATTCTACAGGAAAGTGAGTATTGCATAGAAATTATGGACTAAACATTGGCTTCCCTTATGTATCAATAGTGTTATATCTGGAGTGGACAGGTAGCTCCCGGTTTATGTATGTATTATTAGTTCATATTATAAGTGAGACCAACCTTTCCCTTTGCATCCGATTTAACACTACCGGTGCATTCGACTGCTTTTTTGCTCTGAATATATTACACATAGTTTGAAGGGTAGAAAAAGTATGTAGAGAGTTTCGTATAAGTATTTGTTCATAGAGAATTAACATGTTCAATTAATCTGGATCAAGGATTAGGACACATACCGGCGCCAGAACACCCCGGCGGCTATGCTGGCGATGACTACGGCCACGGCTAGAATGACAATACCGGCGATCCAACCGCCCATTGCCGCGCTGTACTCGTCCTTACAGTTCTCGCCGTAGTATTTCTCTTCGCAATCGCAACCACACTGTCCGCTCTCCAACATTTTACTCTTACCATTATTGTGACAATCGTAGCTAGCACAGTTATCTACATGAAATATTCCAAAATTTAATTTGAGATATTTAATTTAATATTGATGTGAAGTGTAAACAAAATTTCAATAGAAAATTTTGTATGAAAGGTAAAGTAAAAATTTAGTGTAGCTAGCTACTAACCGGCACATAGATTGGCTTTACTATCAAATGACCTTCCGTGGCCACATTCACAACCGGCTGTCGATAGCCATCCATCTTTTTCCGAGAACGTGGTGTTCTGAAGGCACCTACCTTTTCCGTCAAATGTGCATTTGTATTTTTGGCACAAATCATCAACTAATGATAAAATTAAAGTAAATTACAAATTAATCAAGTATATTCAAAATTATATATATTTTACCTTGACAGGATGAGATGAAATACTTAGGGTCATCAGTTGAGCCATAGATTTCCAATGGTACTTTGCCCACCTCATTGAAATTGGTTGCGCAATTACATTCGTATAGCGATGTATCAGCTACTTTTTTGCAGTTAGAGTATTGTGGACAAAGGTTGTTTTTAGGATCACAACTCTACATATTGAATAAAAATATTAAGTAAATGAGCATTTTAACTTTTAAATGCGAATACCTCTTGAACTTTCCATACTGTAGTCTTTAGGGAATCGGCTTTAACCAAAAACTTTTCAGATAGTGGGTCCACTGCCAAGGCAGCTGGTGGTGCTGGAGTGGGATCTTTTCCAGTTACGGGTATAAAACAATCGGGGTCATCTTTACTAATGGTTTTACACGATACAGCCAAGTATTTGCCTATTTCATATGATTTTTTTGTCGGGTCCTTTGCATCATTAACTACAATCGAAAATTCGCAATCATAATAAGCCCCGTTTTCATTTAAATTAACTAGCTGAAGTGAGCCCGGTACTACAAAATCTAACGCGGTCAATAAATTAGATATTCGTTTTTGGATTGCATCTCGGGTACTCCATTTAATAGCGTCGGGTAGATACTTCGCTTCAAGAGCTGAATTTAGTTGATTTAACGATTGTATATCTTTATATAAGCCAGTCAAATCTTGGTTACTTTGCTTTTTAAACTTGGGAAAATCAATTTTATCATATGGCTGCTTAACAGGTTCCGGGATTCCAGGTGGTGACAACGTAAACTTCTTATTAATTGACAATGAAAATTTCACCCAGTACGTTGTGGCAATACATTTCTGTGTGCTAGTGTCAAATACTAAACCATGTTTGCACCGACAAAATTCGTTTAGCTTATTCTTCTTAATGTCCTCATTGGGCACAATATTGGGATTACATTCGGCGTTGATTCGGTCGCAACTATCTTTACGATTATTATAATCGCAATGCGAAACACATTTCTTTTTCTTTTTGTCAAATATGGTCAACTCAGGACATTTACATTCGTAACCAGGATCGGTTTTTGTTAGAAAACAAAACTGTCCTTTTTTGTCGCAATCATTTCGGCCGACAGTGTCTGCGCCACAAATACCTTTCAATTGACATTGTTTGGTATTTTTGTTGAGTTCGTAATATGTGGGACATTTGCAATATTGCCGGCCATCCGGTTGCTTTTCAAATTCCAGGCTTAAACATGATGATTTTTTGTCCACTAAATAAATTATGAAATAAATACACATTTATATATTAAAAATTTGAACAACAATTAATTACATTGGCTCATAATTAATTGTTTTTTCTGAGTATTAAATAAAAATAATTATTAAAATATAAATTATGCAATTTAATTCAAATTATCAAATATTTAATAGAAATATATACTTACAGCTTATTTCACAACTTTTGCCATCCTGGCTTATTGAGTAATTTGGTAAACAGGTGCATGAACCACTAATGTCGCAATAGCCATTGGTCCTGCATGCTTTGCATGGTTTGTCAGGGTTCTCTTTACAATTATATTTTCCATCGAGCACATAATTTTCCTTGCAACTACATAAAAATCCATCATTCTCGGTTATATTTGCTGTACAAATATGTTGGCATGGATTTAATGCTGGTGATTCACACATTTTTGGGGTACACTCTGTCTCATCGGGTTGACCTGGTAGTTTGTCTAATAAGACATTTAATTTAAGTTAAACAGTACATTAAATATAAAAACTAACGTGTAAAATGATTTATCACCTTTTAGTGTGCGCTCAAAACCAACTGGGCAAGTACACTCCCAATCCGATGGGTCATCCAATTTGGTTTGGCATTTTGCGAATTTCTTTGAGCAGGCAACTTTAGATAACCCTTTTACATTCCTATAGTTAGGCTCACACGCGTCAACCTTGACATATTTGTCGCCATCGGGAATGTAGTCCTTATCATGTACACATTTTGGTGCACTGGTTGGAGGATCTTGCTGACAAACCTCGTGTTCTTTACATTTAAATGTTAAACATTTTGGGAGACGGTAGCATCTATAAAATAGAAATTATATAATTTTATACTCTATTAGCGTACATTTAAAGTTGTTATTTAAATTAAATTTTAATCAGCATACTCTAAAACATCCGAGCCAGAATGTTCCCAATAAAAATCTGTGTTATTTTTGCAATCACATTTAAATGAATCAAGTACAGGGTCAATTAAACAAATTCCTCGTAAGTCTTTTTGGGCTTTGCAATAATTAGCACCTGTATCTTTTATTGGCTATTTAAAAAAGTTTATATATTATAATTTGAATATTAACTAATATTTGTTAATATAAATCTAAATGTTTAACTTACCGGATATATTGTGTTACAATAGTTATTTTTCTCACAGCTCTTTCCATAAAATAAATCATCATTGCATTTGCATACTGCCTCCAATACATTACTGGTTGGATTAACTACTCTAGTACATTTAGCAGTTGGATCTACTTTATTACACTTAACTTCTTGGCGCTTCTTATCAATGCACGGGTCGTTTATGTCCAGATTTAAAATAGTTAAGTAATTTTTCGGCTCAGTTGTAAGTTTATTATAAATCACTTTAATTCCTATTCTAAAAGACTTTCCCGCAGGCAATTTATCGATTTTAACCACGTTGTCCTTATCATTTTGAATGGCCTAAATAATTTTATGAATTAGATATAAAATTTGACATATAAATAAAATTCTATAAATATATATTTTTAAATACAATAAATAGCAATTTAATATTATTTAAAAAGTTATGTCTATTATTGAAATTTATATTTTTGTCGTCCAATTCACACCCCATATATATTCGCATATTAATTAATCTTGATTAATGTTATGCTAGATAAATTTAAATATTATATTTACCTCTGTTTTTATAGTTTTGTCTCCAAATAATTGAGTTGTCGCTGGACTCTCGACCATATTCTCATCAAATACTACAAACTGAAAGTAATAATTTGAGTATTCCTTGGTCATATCGAAGCGCAATATTATTGAATCGTTAGTCCTTGTCAACCATTTACTGATTAAGTACGATGTTTTAAGTAGCCCGGTATTTTTAGCTAACATAAAATTAAAAATTTATTATTAATTTATACTGAATTTATAAAATATTCAATTATGTTATCTAAATCTTACGTGCAAAATTTATATCATTTGATTTTGGAGTATGTGTCCATGAATTATCAGCACCAATTTTTGTTGGAAATAAGATGTCAAAAGTACTTTTACTATCATCATCATTAATATAAGGAATATAGGCATCATTTAAAGTAGTCTCAGGTGCTGTGCCTGGGGTTAAGTTTGCATCAAGGTTAACTCCTATTCGTTCATCAGCGGTTTTAAACAATGTTTTAAATGTAATCTTAAATTCCTTTTTCAAAACAGGCGTTAAATCGGCAATGCAAATTCTTTGCGTGCTCAATTCTTTATTTGGTTGCTCAATTGAGTCGATCCTTTGCAGTGGTATACCACCAGGGTTACCGTTGTATGAGGCAATCAAGGTAGATCCGTCGTTTGCATAATAATTTACATTGTAACATAAATTAGTGCTCGTATTGTAGTCAGTGAATTGTTGCTCCAGGGCAACATCTGTTTTTTCAGCTACGTATAATGGGAATACAGTTTTAATGGGTGCGACATCGCTGATATCAGTATGCGCGATTTGAGGCATATTTTTGTTTGACCATTTAACTTTATCAGTGATTGTGAAAAGTTCACATTTGTCAGGAAGGTTGCATGTATTTTCAAATATTTGGTGACTCATGGTTTGAATGCAGCTATTATTTGGAACATAAAAAATTAGCTTTTTAAAACTAGTAGTTATTTAATTTTAAAAGCTACTAAATTTATGTGTAAATTATAAAAAAAATTATTAATTTTCTAAAATCATACTATTAACAGAAATGTTTCAACAATATTATATTTAAAATCAAAATTAATATAAAATGTAATCGATGACAAACATAGTATTAAATTGACAAAAAATTAAATTAATATTTTCGTATAGTCTATTTATAAATATATCGTTTTGTTTGCTCTATAAAATAATAAAGATACTAATAAATTTTTACCATGTATTAATACGTTTTTAAAAATAAATTTAACTAGTACATAAATATTAATACATAAACTTACCCAATATTTTTTAGATCAAACTTAAAACCTTTTGCTGGACATTTACATGTTATTGTTTTATCAGTGTTTTGAAAACAATAATCTGGCTGGTCAGCTAGTCTGGGTAAATTGTCGCATTTAATTTGATCCTGTTAAAATATACAAAATATATTAAATAATGCAATTTACGTTACATTCGAAAATATTAACATACTTCTCCTTTGCATTTACTAATCTCACAATATTGACCAATATAAGCGTTTTGATCATTACAAACGCAAATATTATCATTCGGCGATGTAACGGGATGAGTGTCACAGTGACCACGGCCATTACATATTTTATTCGCAGCCAATTTTGAATCGCAAGGATCTCCAATTCGGAAATCAGTTATTTTCAAATTTATTGGTTTATCCTTGTTCTGTTCGCCTATCAATGTGACAATAACTAATATCTTAAAGAATTTGCCTTCCTTATTATTTGTGATATCAATCAGTGCGTCCGTTGCTGCACTTGCAATTGACCTACGATCTTTAGCAAATATGGCATCCGGCTTGTCCCATAATATTGACGTCTCCAATCTAATGTTATGTTTATCGTCTTTCTCATTGAAATCAAATGTTAACCTCCTGTTCAATTCGTAAATTAATTCATTATTTGAAATCCAATCGCTGATGAATATTGTTTCGAAGGTGTCGCCCTTTTTCACAGTTTCTATAAAATATGAGAATTTAATAATTATATTTTAAAATATTTTTAAAATTAAATGTCAGGAATTTTGGTATTTTTATATTTTTAAAATATAATATTCCATTAAAATTTCAAAATATATAATTTAGAATACAGTATTAATTAATCAAGCAATAATTTTGTTGTAAACTAAATTCATACTTAACCCTATAAATTGACTGTAAAATAAGTATTGTTTATTTATTTTATTATACAATTCATAACATGTTAATGAATATGTTTTAAGTATTAATTAGTAAAACCTCCAAAATTCCTCCCCTGTTGCGTAATATATTTATCTAATTTATAGGGGTTGTAGGACTGATTAATAACACTTTAATTCAATTGATTATTTATTCATGTTATACATTATCAATTAGAATTTTGCTAATTCTTTAAATTAATATTTTATTAAATTGTGCATAAATCTGCAACACTTTCCGTACCCATGTGATCATAAATAGTCGATTGTGCCGGATCAAAGTATAATAAATAAGTACTATTAAATATTGTTATTGTTTTGATCCGTTGGAGAATGTTATTAAATTTAAATTAAATGTAATCAAAAATAGTAATTTTACATATTCAAATTATTTACAAATACTTTATATTACCTGTAAATTCAGCGTGCGTTGAGTCCCAGGTCCAAAAATTTGGATACGGAAATTGACTCCAATTTTGATCTTTAAAGCTCGTTATTAACGAGACATTTAATTTCTTTTCATTGACCTCGGGTAATGTTGGCGGGAATGTCAAATCCAAATTGTGAATTGTTGTTTTAAAATCCTTTCCGTTACTAGTTGCAGTTAATTCTAGGCTAAAATCATTATCGGGGGCGAACATGAAATCGCGTAAACAGAACGTAATTTCTTTTTTATCCTCGACCACTTTTCTGTCGAATAATTGTTTAGTGCTTTTCCCATTGTTATAAGCGACAGACAATGTAACATCAGCCAATGATGTTTGATCGATTTTGAAATCGTGTTTAATAGTCGGGCAAAATTGGACACGATTGTGGGCGATACCCTTGAAAAGGTATATTAATTTGTTGTCCTTAAGGCTCGATGGTTTATAGCCATTTGTACCATCATTTTCCCAACCCTTTTCAAGCTTTATGTCAAGTTTCTGGCACTCATTGTTTTTACTAATTTGATAAAGTTAGATATTAAATAATTAGTTTAAATTATTTACTAAATTATAAAATAGATAATTATTAATAAATTTATATTTTATGTAACTTATTTAATTAAACACAAAAAATAATTGTTAAACTCTATAAATACGTTGATTATAATTATTATATAGTTTACTTTGAAAAGTCAAAATTCAATTTGTCCCCCTTATTGCATACACAATTCCATTTGTTTGCATTTTCTGCATATGTCATCGTAGAAGTAGTGTCATCGCAAATTATACCAGCTCCAGCGTTTGGACACTCCGTACTACCAGCAATCTACAATTATTTAAAATTATTTTATGGTTCAAAGTAAATTTTAAATTTTTTAAATTACTCTTTCTCCTGACTTGACGGGCACATTACAAAAATTAGCCTTCTCACATTTTTCCCCGTAAAAATCTTCGATACAGTGACAGGAGTTAGGTTCGGTTTTGAGTGGGTCAACCACATCGTAACATTCCTTCGCATCGTATAGGCCAACCGGTTCGCATAGTTTATTTAGTGGTAATTGATATTTGCATGGATGACCGAAATTTAGTAACTGCAATTTGATTTCATAATTGCCATCGGGTGGTAAATTTTCTGGTTTGAAATATTGGATCTCGAACTTTAATTTAATATATGTCGTGTCGTCCATTTTGTCAAATTTGAACAAGTATGTCCATGTTAATTTACTTTTATCTTTCTCAGTGTTTATTATATTAATGTCAACACAATGGCCAAAATCATTGCAAATTAGTGGGCGAATTTTAAATGCGTAAAAGTACATTTCGTCCGAGACCTGAAACATAAAACTTCCCGGATACTTAGTTAAAACTTCATTATAAACAATCCACTCGCTCATCAAGATGGCTGAAGATGGTATATCGGTCTCGGGTTTAACTAGTATAGAATATTTTAGATTATTTTTTTACCAGATTTTTTATACAGTCTACATAAAATATTAATTAAATTAAATAATTTAGATACCTTTAACTTTGAGCATATTATTATCTGTTGTAAACACTCCTAACGGTATTTGTACTGGCCACTCAGTTGTTGTTGCTTTATGTGATTGAAATTTTTGAACATGGCTTTTGAAATAATCTTCCCATTTACTAGCTTTATGCAGGGAATCTACTTGTCTCGCTTGAATCGAAAAATCTTTAATGTTATTATCCGGTTGAACAATATCGACAAACAGGTACACCGAGGTACTAAAAGCTATATAATCGTTTAAACATACAGTTGACTCTTCAAGTACTTTGCTGCCAAGTAAATTTACTTTTGGTTTAATTGAAAGTATTTTGTTTTTTGTTTTATCTAATTCAGCGGTGTTTGAATAATAGATGTTAATTTCAGTAGCCTTCTTGGCGTAATATTGCAGCTTAAAGCATGTGTAGCTTTTGC